ATCATTCACACAACTTTATTATGCACATATCATAAGCTGTACATTGGAAATACACATGTGGGAACAAGAAGAGGATCGGAATGATAATTCCAAATTTCTTACTAACATTATTATTCTCATCATTCATTCATTCTTTTCATTCATTCATTTTTTTTTTTTTAAAAATCCCATTCTCTTTGACACTTCCATCTGTGCTGTACCTATTGATCGTAAATATAATATAACTGCCTTACTGTCCCAACCTCCAATTGCACAGATCTGAGTTAACGATAAACCTGCCTCCATCGCTGCTATGGCACTACCAATTCTAATACTATGAGCTGTATATCATTCTGACAACTGCGCATTATCAGCTACACTCTTCACAATAGCTCCAATAGCTCTAACAGTCATTTTCTTTTTCCTATTTGACAAGAATAGCGGCCAATTTTTCTGGGTTTTTGGTCTGATTAATAAATATCTCTTAAGCAACCTAACTGGGCAACCAAGGCTATTTGAAATTTCAATAGAAATAAATTTTCCATTAGAAAACTGATCAGTCTTTGAATTACAAATCTGTATCCAACATAAATTTCCATTAAATTTAACATCCTCCAACTTCAAATTATATAATTCCACTGGCCTACGCATTGTCCTTAATCCTATTGCAATCAAAGCTATATCTCGTATCCATATATTCATGTCTGCAAATCGTGGTTTATTAATAACAAACCTACTCAATACAAAATCGGTAGCAGATCACGTGGCTATTCTGGCTTTCTATCCTTCCTTGATTTCTTTATCAATGCCTTATAAACCCTCCTAACATTATATAATTTCGATAGGTCGGGTAATAATCTTTCTAGGTGTTCTCTTGATACAGTGCAAGTATATCTGAACAAACCAATGTAGCATCCGTTAAATCTAACCAAATCAAACATGACAAGAGGGAATCCTCCGACGACGGAATAGCACGTTGACCTGTAACTCCACAATATTCTAAATAAGTTTTCTATGCTTTATCCAACCTTTTATTCCAATTTTCTGAATATGATTTCCTTACTAAATTTTTTGCCTTATCCAACAAGGCTTTGACTAATTTATCCTTACTGCTATAAACTGCTATTTCTTGTTTTTCCACAGCTCTACTTCCCCTGATAATCCTATTTCGAATACTATCCAAAGTGGTGGAATTTCTACATAGTCAGTTTGATACAGCAAAAATATTGGCCACCACTTCGCCGATACCCATATTGGTACAATTATTGTCGCCGATGCTTTTCTTTCTATTACATGCTGGAGTACACGATGAATTAAGCCCAAGGGGGAAGCAAACATAATTGTTCTCGCCATTCCAACTTTGTGTAAAACAATTTACCGCCTCGGTTCCTGGACAATAAAAACGGCTGTTGAATCTTGTGAGCTTCGTGTTTTGGTGATCCGCCATTCTGTCTATAGTATAGGGACCCCACCTTTCTTCTAATTCCAAAAACACCTTCTGTGCCAATTTCCAATCTGATGGATCTAATACTCAGGTTAACTTGTCGGCCGGGTTTACTTTCGATAGGACCCAAAAGGTCTCGTTTAGCCAAATATCGTACTCGTCCAGCAAACTCCAAAATTCTCTTAACAAGGCCTTTTGCCATGGTAACTTTCCTTCTTTTACTACTGTAGCTAGAGCTACATGATTGTCTATGTGTATATCTATCCACGAATGGCTCAGAAGCTTTGCGAAAGATCTTACACCTAAAATTACTATACTTGCCTCGAGTTTCGCTATTTCTCTGTATGAATGCCACCTTTCCCAATTTCCAAATGCCTGATTCTTTCCGAATA